CTATTAAACTGAATTAAACTAAACATTTAGCGTAGTTTCACTGAGCTTCCACATGACCTAGAAAATTATGCAACATAACATATAATAGATGAGTAAAATGGCATATATTTTATTTGAATTTATTATTTATTTCATTCATTTTCAGTTTGAAAAGAATGTGTCACAAGTTGATATAAAAACAAGTTCTTAATGAAAAGAAGTAGTTGGAAGAAAATAAAATTATATAATCTACCCCTTTATTCAAAAGTCAGTTTGCTACATCAGACTATCAATCAATGATCCTTATACAACAACATACAACGTACCATTAGGACCTTGCTAAGAGAATAAATAAAAATAAAATTAGGAAAATAAAGTCCTAATACTACAAGAATAAAGTCATGTTATTATGAGAATGAAGGGATTACGAGAAAAAAGTCATAAGAGAATGAAGCCGTAGTATTACTAGAAAAAAGTAATTATATTAAGACTTTATTCTGGTAATAACTACATTCCTGTAATATTATGATTTTAGTCTCGTATTATTTGTACTTTATTCTCGTAATGTTATTCTTGTTATTCTCATGCAAATTCATTCTCACAGTATCCTGATAATCCTAATAATTCAATTTTTAAATCTTTGTTCCTCAGTATGGCCCTAATACATTGTATTAAGCACAAAATAGGCAAAAAGACTATCTTTGTAAATTTAATGAATCTTCTTAATTGAAAATTAAAAGTAAACTATCCATAGATTAGTTTCAGAGTAAACGGGTATATTTGTAAACATTTTAATGCGAGTTAATCGCATAATAATTTGAAGCGATTTGACCTGGCCTTGCTTCATGTGAGTTGCTATGTCGCTCCACCACCACAGTGCGGCGCTGCTGGGGAAAATACGTCACCGGAAGTTGCGTTTTCGTACACGAGAAAGATGTCTGCGCTCGACGTCCAAGATTTCATCCAGCAGAACCGGGCCACGGCCCAGCAGGTGGAGACGTTTCGGGGTTACTGGGAGAGTGACAAGCACTGGGAGGCGCGGAGGGAGTTCATCCTGCGGAACATGAGCGACTTTGAGACGGATCGGCTGGACCATCTGCTGTCCCTGTCCATGGTGTGGGCCAACAACGTCTTCATGGGCTGCCGGTACTTGAACGCACCACAAACCCCTTTTGCCGAAATTAACCATAAATCACAACATATTTATTAGTTCATGTTTTAGGAATTAGCAGAACTAGGTTTAAAAGTTATATTATGAAAACTGGGGTTTTAAATAATCGGAGTATTTACACCGGAAGTGTAAATGTTGTGACAATTACAGTTCTCCCGTACTCCTCTTTAGTTTAGTTTCCTCCTTTCCTTATTTGTCCACTTTGGTTAATTATATCCTTCCCTCCGTGTCCCTCCTTTTATTTCTTACTTGTTTCCTATTCTATCTCTTCTTTCCATTCTTCCAACCTACATTTCTTTTTTCTTTCATCCTTCTTTACATTCATTTATATTCTTTTTTCCATCCAGAGTATACCAAAGTTTTCTGTATAGGAAAATGTTCCATCTTTTATCACATCAGCATCAAATTATCACTTGCAGGACTTTGAAACAATCATGCAAGCATCTGAGTATTTAGAAGATTCGCTCACATCAGATCTTTATAGAAAACATTTTTCTCATTAAAACTATTTTAAGACGTTCTGGTAAAATTGCATCTTTTTTGCAAATATGGCTATATTCTCGTAAACAAAAGCTTGTCCGTGATTCTCCGTTGTACAACTCAAAGGAGGGATGATTGGAATAAAAGCCCCTTATTGAAAATATTTCTGTTATTTGTAATTTATTTTTTAGAAAACGGGAGAAAAATACCGAATAAAATCGGATCTGGTATGAAAAAAAATATTTTAAGTTTTTAAGCCAGAACCTTCTTTAATCCATAAGATACAGTCCAAATAAAAATGCCTCTTCTTCTCTGTCGGTAAAAACTGCTGTTCTGTAGCGACTGACCCGGTCTGTTTGCGAACTGCAGCTACAGCGCGGCGCTGCTGGAGAAAGTGAAGGAAATGGCCGAAGGCATCGTGGTGGAGGACGCGCCCGTTTTCAAGACCAGAGATGAAATCATTAAAAGTCAGCAGGTCGGTTGCCTTGGAAACGCATCAACTTTTAACCCGCTGTAGGAGGAAATCCTGACCGACTTGTTTCTGCTCTTGACAGGGCCGATGACCGGAACCGGACCCGTCGGGTCAGAACCGGAATCGCTGAAATGTTTACCAACATGGACCAAGTTTTTATGGTTTTACAATATATTTTTTAAAATCTTGTAAAGAAATGGCTGTATTTTCAGGGTATAGGAGCATCTCATTGCATAACTTTTTAACGACTTTACTAGAAACGCACTGATATGAAGATTTGTTGTGATATTTAATACTGTTGTTACAGCCGATAATCAATATTACATACATTTCTCTACCGTTTTGACACCTTTGGAAAGAATACAACAAATAAATATTGGTTCCTATCAGCCTAATTATATTTATCGATATGTTAAATTAGTAATATCGGCCGATACTGATATCATGCATCACTAGATTTTACTACATTCAGCTATGAATAATTATGTACATTTACAGTGAAACTGCATGTTTTAATGTGTTTTATAGCAGAATAAAGAATCTTGTTTTTAAACTCTGATTTACTTCAAATAATATTGGTGATATTACTAAGGCAGAAAATTAAAAAAAAGAGATCAGAAAAAGTGGGTAATTTAAAATCAGTAACATGCAGGTTTGAGAATTTAGATTTAAAATGTAAAACAAATCTTTTTGCAAAGTCAGCTTTTCTTTAACTGTGCAGAAGTTTTTACATTGACACATTAAGCTAAATCTCGTTATCCGTTTTATGACTTGCTGATAATTTGGTGTTAATTTATGGCATTGTTTCAACAGTTTCTTTTTTCTGTGTCTTATTTGAAGGCTTTAAAATGTAACAAGGGTTTCAGCTACACAAGGAGCTGCAGCAGCCAAAACGGTTTCAGTTACTCTGAACCTAAAAAATGCCAAAAATACTGAGACTGCTTGAGAAAATTCAGATTAACAAAATCTAGATGGCTTATAATGCAGTTTGATAAACAGGCCAGGATTTTTAAGATTTGATCAAGCTAATTATGTACAAAAATTATCACCCAGAATTAAAAAAAATATTATTGGAAGTTGAGGCTTAAGATCCAAGAAAACCCCCTGAAAATTAAAAAGGGGTCCAAAGTGTGGCACTGTGGCTGTTTGTGGCCCTTAGAAAATAATTGACTCAAAAACTGTTAAAATTTCCTTTTAAAAAGGTAAAAATCCAAAGCTCTTTTTTGATCTTTAATGGTATATAGGTTTTATAAGAATAGTTTACCGTTGAGCAGGTAAAACTTAAAAAAAAAAGTAAATACTTTTGGCATTAAATTTGCCAGTTTTGTAGAAAGAAATCAACTTAGACCCTAACCCCAAACTTTGTCACATGACCAATATTGCCGAGTCAAAAATATTCACCTGGCAGAAAAACAACTAAAATCAAGAAAATGGATTGTTTTGCTGCATTAAAAAAATCATCTAGTTTTCAAAACGTACCAAAGAAGTCAGAAAGAAACTTCTGTCAAAGTCTGAAAAATGTGTTTTATTATGTTTATACAGCATATTATTTTAAGTATACATTTGTTTCTCAAAATTTGATAGCATATTCTGTTTACTAGGTGAAATAAGTCACAAGCCACTATATGAGCATCTCTGTTTAAGAAAGGGGGGTTCCGTTTCATGTTGGCGGATCGGGTTCAGTCATGACTGTTTGCTTAAGGAGAATTTTGTTTTTCCAAGAAAAAGAAAATAAAAACATAAAAAAAGGTACAGACACCAAAAAGAAAACATTTAAATCTTCACTGAAGGTTTGAACAGCGAGAAGGTGCAGCAGCTTGTTTTCAAATTAAATAAAAGAAGAAGAGCATCACTTAATTTTGCATTTTATTTTTTCCTTAATATTCGCAGTCAAGTTGTTTTAATAGAGCCACCAGAAGCATGGACACTTAAATTGTTTTGTTTTGGGAGAGAAATTATAAAATAAAACAAAAATAAAGCTTCCCTCCTACCTGACAGACTTCCCTTCAATCTGCATTTATTTATTATAAAACATGATGTGGAAGCATCCCACTGCAAAAACACTCCATTTTAAAGTTGTTTTGTTTCAGTACAAATATCCTAGTGCACTTAAAACAGAAATTTAATAAGTAACTTTTCAGCAAAAAAAAAAGAGCTTGTTTAAAGTCAATAATCCAGTAAAGTTTATTTAAAAAGTAATATTTCCACTGTCAGATTATTTCACACCGTTACCTAGCAACCCTAGCCAGGCCCAGCCCGTTACCTAGCAACCCAGTTCTAGCTCCAATGCCAAATTATTTCACTTATAAACATGGGTAAAATATTTTGTTATAAGTGAAAAACTGTCAACGGAACTGAAACTTTTTCATTGATAAGGAATTATTTATTTCAAACCATCTCTTATGCTGAAAAGTTGCTGGTAAGCTAGCACACTTGAAGTAAGACAAAACTGATATTTGCACTAGAAAGTAAACCAAAACTAAATTTTGTGTTTTTGCAGTGCCTCCATAATGCTATTTTACCTGCTTTTAATGGACACTCAGGGGAATTTATTTCCCAGCCAACACAAACAAGGAGGGAGAAAATTAGAAAACAGCAATGCAAAATGAAACGTAAAAACATTATTTCCTCTCTCATAAGAAACCTCTGTCGTGTCGAGTCGGGGATTCGTGATTCACCTGCACTCCTGCTGCTGCTGCTGTCTCAAACTAACTGAATCCAAACCAAAGCAGAAACGGCGCGGTGGCCGTTCTTTGTTTAGTTTAACTGAGGATCAGTGATATTTATGAGCGCTGAAAGGCATTTCCTGGGTTTTTCCACAGCTTTTAAAAACGTGCCGATTTGGTCGTTAGCGTTTCCTTCTCAAACCAGAAGAAAAAAAAAAACAAAAAAACAAAGTAAAACTTGGGCATTAACCGCTTTTAGTCCAACCAAACATATATTACAAGTTTTCTTAGCAATAACTTATCCCACACCATGCAATAAAAAAGACAAGAAACACAATTCAAGATGGAAACCCAACACCCCAGATTTCCTACAATGCATCGGTAAGCAACTTGATGTCTGTTCAGATTTGGTTTTCCTTTTTACTTATCAGGGTGGCACTTGAGTTTTGATAGTTACTGTTGTTTCTTGATGAGCGGCTGAAGAAGAGGGATGATGATGAGGAGGGGTGATGAAGACGATGGGTACGGAGAGGAAGACGCTCAGCCGTCCACCCAGCTCTGCTCCACGATGGCCGTTACCCGCTTCTCGTACTCCCTCTTGTTTTCCTGGTAGAGCTGCGCCGCCTGGCTGTTGGCCGGGCTGTTGGGGTTCGGCTCATCAAGCAACGACTGCACACAACAAATTTTTAAAAATTATTTATTCAAGTAAGATCTTTTTATTCAAGTAAAAAAAAAAGTTTCATTCAAGAAAAAATGTTTTTTTAAGTAAATGAAGTAATATTCATTAGTGTTGAGAAGCATTTCTATTACTGTCAATTTAACACTTAAAAAAATCTCACAGCAATATTTTTTTTAATTTATCGACAGACAATATATTTATTTATGTAAAACTACACATTCTTACTGAGCTATTCAAATTTAAATACTGAAATATTATTGTTCAGGTTGCCACTAGGAGGCGCCAGCCACAAAAATGTCATTGCTAATAAAAGCCAGAATCCCAGAATATTAAAAGAAAGTGGAAAAAAAAAGAGGTGCAGAAGCAGCAGGAGAAACTACGTCAGTATTCACCACATGTCTGTATGGAGTCAGAGACACCTATTAAAATATAATAAAGTACTTCTTATGATTAAATAATATTTAACATCTTCTCACACTGATGTAATTTTACAAGTATAAACTGATTTAATTTGATAAAATATTTAAGCATCGCTGTGTGACGAATCTACAGTGTTTCAGTTGTAATTTACCGATTCTCTTGTATTCAGACGGATTGTTTAAAGTTTAGTTTGCAGAAATGTAAACCGACAGACCTGGATGGACGTGAGTATGGACGACACGTCGTACGTCGGGCTCCAGCGATTCTGAAGAATGTCTAAACATATACTGCCGTCAGCGTAAACTGGAAAACGGGAAACAATATTTTAAATTTAAGCAGGTCATTTCCAAGTGAAAAACGTTGTTGAACAATAAAACTCATGCAGTTTGCAAATACAGGATGATTATATAACCTTTTTAATAATATAAATATCATGGCTGTAAATGTAGGAGATAAATTATTTCAGCTTTAATGGATTTGAACTAAACCTAGTTAAAACTCAGAAATAAACTAAAAGAGCAGCTTTCAAAGCAAATTAAGTTGATAAATGACAATGTTGAGACCATCATAAAGTAATTTATTGATAATGTTCATCTAAAAGACCAATAAAGTTCAACTTTGTAAAGGACACGACCCAATGGAACCGGAAAACATTTTAAATATCCAACAACTAAAAAATTACACAACTTGAGCCATAAATAAAATGAATTATAAACAGAAAAAACAGAATTTCCCTTCAGCAAACATCAGAATGGAAATGGAGCTAATTTTAATTTATCATGTGATTAAATGGTTATCTTGATTTCTTTGAAGGGAAGAACAAAACTGGAAAAGTTCATAAAACAGTGTTTAAGATGCATTTTACAGTTGTTTCTGCTCTAAATGTGTAGATAATCAGAAAAGGTGAATGTGTTTGTTGCTGCAGCATCCCTCACCATTTGGATGAAACATTTTGGAGACGAACCGAACCGTGGGGGGCTTGTTGGGATACTCCTCTGAAAACTCTATCAGCAGCTTAAATGTTCCTGCAGAGGCAGAGAGGGAGACACGAAGCTTTTAGTCTGCAAGAAAGATGCAGATGTGAAAAACGGAGACGCTGCTGACAGCAAAGGAAACCATGAAGGGACTATAAGTATCCCTTACTGCAGCAAAATCTGTTTATTGTGCAGGATTAGACAGGAGCAGGGAGGGAGAGGCTGACAAACGTCAACTAGAAAAGCAGGACCAGATCCTTCAATATCAGACAATATTTGTATTTTTATTTCATAAGCAGTGCCAAAGCACAGCAAATTATTCTGAATCCACATTTCCTCGTAGCCAATAAAGTCTATTCACATTTTTTGCAAAGTTTGAATAAACTAAAGCGTAGAAACGGATCATGTGAAGCAAAGTACCGAACAGACAAAAACCTGCTGCTGTTCCAGAGACGTAATGAAGCTAAAGACCAACAACCTGAGCACCGGCCAACCGGCCGACCGTTTTTAAATCTCAACCTATTTTTATTTTAATCATCATTAGCACTTCACATTTTAAACATCTCAAACTGACAAACTGGATTTTTCCATCATTTTTACAAAGACATTCACAGAGAAACTACAACTGACAAAATCAGCTTACAGCACAGAAAGCAGCTGAAACATCAGTGATTAAAAATTACAAAGTTCAAAACAGGGCTGCACAGTGGTGCAGCTGGTAGAGCCGTTAACTTGCAGCAAGAAGGTTCTGGGTTCGATTCCCGGCCTGCATGTTCTCCCTGTGCATGGTGGGTTCACTCTGGGTACTCCGGCTTCCTCCCACAGTCCACAGACTGTCAGGTTGATTGGTCTCTCCAAATTCTCTCTAGGTGTGAGAGTGTGTGTGCATGGCAGTGTGTCTCTGTGTCCAGGGCGTCCTGTCCAGGGCGTCCTGTCCAGGGCGTCCTGTCCAGGGCGTCCTGTCCAGGGCGTCCTCGCCTCCCACCCAGTACATTAGCTGGGGAGGCAGCAGCACCTCCTGACCCCACTAAGGGACAAGGGTGTAAGAAGATGAATGGGAGTTCAAAACAAAACCTGAAGAGAGGCTGCATGTTAGCAAAGCTCTACTCCAAACTTTTCCACATGGAAATGATGAGAAGTCACAAGAGAAGGATTTCCTTATAATAATGATAATAATTATGAAGCCTACTTGTTCTCCAATCAAAATGCTCCAGAACTACTCATGTATTTCCATATCCAGCTCTGTTACTTTTGCAGAGTTGTGTTCGCAGCTCCAGGCTGCGTTCGGCTGAAGGAGACATGTGGCTCCACTTCAATAAAATTCTGTTTTGGTAAACAAACCACTTTATGAACCCAATAAATCCAAACGTATAACTTACCATCTTCGAATGGCGTCCCCACAGGCCTGCAGCAGACAGAGAGAGAAAGATTAGATTTATAAGTTCAACACCGATCTGATAACCTGAGGCAGAGCGTCACTTTCTATAGCAGAGAATGAGAATTAGTAGATTAGACTTGTTTGTGTCAGGTTGTTTTCTTATGGTATTTAATTTAGGTATGTTAAGCCAATTATATACTTTGTTTTCGTCGTGTCGCATTAAATCACACTGAGGCTGAATATAAAACAAAAATAAAAGAAATCTGCACAAATACGGTGCAGAGCTAAAGCCTTCGTCAGCCAATCAGATTGCTTCAAAACAACAACTTCCTGTTAGCAATTAAAGATGGTGGCAGGAGGTTCATTTAACTGGACAGATTAACTAATTTTAAATAGTGTATTAGAATATCAGGCGAGAGGCGGGGTCACCTGGACAGGTCGCCAGTCTGTCACAGGGCAACACACACACACACACACACACACACACACACACACACACACACACACACACACACACACACACACACACACACACAAATTAGCCTGAGCCAAAGAATATAAAGTTAATAAAACAAGACTGGAATTATGTCAAAGCAAGAATGTGAAGGCTGTTATAACATATTTTACTGGACAATAAATTGTCCCAGAAGTTATTGCGATAAACGATAATACTGTTATTTTGAGACCATTTTCCAATAATATTATATTAATGACATGATAAAGCAAGAACACTTTCTCAAAAATCAATAACTTAAAAGCCAACTGTGGATTTATCAAACTGCAGTGCGAACAAGTTTTCTCACATCTTCACTTGGGTTTTATAAATAATAGTTTTTAGTGATATTATTATTTCCTGTGGATATTCGGCTATGTGTGGCTTAGGCCTGAACGAGACGTTTTAACTAAAATAAGTGAACCAAACCTCAGATCTAAGCTGAATCGTGTCGTTGGTTCATATAACATGAAGCCAGGCGTTTGGCACAGAGATCTGATATTTTATTAAAGCAAAGAGGCGGCTGCAGGATGTGAGCATCAGAGGTAGAGAGGAGACGGTGGGGTGGAGCTGCATTTAGAACATGACTCACCCAAAAATAACAGCGTTCCACAGCATGATGTTGTTCTCAGACGGCGCTCCGCTCACACCGGTGGGAGGGTCTTCCTGAAGTCTGAGGAGAGGAAGAAACGATGAGGAGGAGAGGAAGAAACAAGGAGGAGGAGAAGAAAGAAGCGTATTTCAGAAGAAGGCAGGCACAACAAAAAGATTTATAAAATAATAAAAATAATAATAAGAACAGCAGGAAAAATAGCCAGAGGGAGTGATGAACGAGTGGAGCATGAGGCGACTAATTAACTCCTTGACAACGGGACAATTATCAGTCAAAACAAGAAGCTGCAACATGAGGCTGTGTGCAGGATCAGCAGCACAACGCCAACATGCTGCTTCCAGGGCTCTGTGGCTGGAAACGCCGCTGACGCAAACTCAGGCATAAAAACACTCTCATATACTTGGAGATTAAAAACTAAAGTAAAAAAGGAATAATCCAAACTGTGTATCGTGGGGTTGGTATTTATCGCATCATTTATCACTTATTGTGATAAATTTCTTAATATAAGAATTCTGATTTATTGTTTTCATAAAGTCCAATTAATGATGTTTTACTGCTTCCTCCACTGCTTGTTTAATAAAAGTTTCAGGATATATTAATAAATTTGAAAATATATTAAATTAACTTAAAATAATAGACAAAAAAACATGTAGTTTTGATATTAAAGAACTGCTGTTTTGGTAAATCTGGATAATAAAATCAATCACAAAAAAATATTGAGAAAGACTCATGATCAATATCAATAGATAACTGACAGAATAATCAATAAATTTACAAAACTGATCCAGAACTGCACAGCATTCTGGGAGATGTAGGCACAGGAAAGACTTAAGCTGCTCATAGCTAGCTAGGAAAGGTTGGCGGCATTAACTCACTCACTCACTGGTTACCTAGCAACTCGCTCACTCTTTGGTTGCCTAGCAACAGCCTGCAGGCTAAACTGCGCAGATCGTGGCACTATTTCAGATATTTAAAACAACAAACAACAATCATCAATATTGACCGATATGAAATCCTTCCATTGTGTCTGTCAGCCATATTATCCAGACTCTTATGTTAAAATAAACTATCTGTATTCAAACTGTAAAGCACTGATGCTCTGCAGTTAATGCGTCTCTGCATGGTCAGTGTTTTGGTCGCTCTGATGAGCTTTGTTGATGCCTTGATGCTGATTTCCTTGCTTTCTGCAGAACAGAAAGTAACTCAGTCACATGATTTCTAAATATCTAAACTTGCAGAAGCAAAGCAGCAGTCAGGAAACGTCATGTGCTGCAGTTTCTCTCTGCTCTGCAACAAAACAACTTCCTACTGACTGGCTCAACTGGAACATGTTTACACATTTAAAGTGTTTATGGAACTTTTCTTTAGACATCTTTTCTAAAATTAATCCAATTCATTCCCTAAAAATGGACCTTTAAATTCACAAATCTTGAAGATCTACTATAATAACCTTAAGTTCTATTCATATTGCATTTATTTTAGTGTTTGAGTTTTTAAAAAGTACTCCAGTTTTTAATTTTCAGTAATTAAAACATTACATTTGAGAACATGCTAATCTAATCCTGTGCAGTAGAACGTCTAAGTTTAAGAAATGTGTCTTCTATCCGGTTTACAACCCGACTGATTAACCTGAAATAAAAATAATTCAGCGCTTATTTGCCGTGTCAGTTGTGGTTTCACAATCTGAACTTCGACAAATGATCTGAGACACGCAGAGAAAAATGCCACAGCAACGACTGCCTGGCAACAGAGACGGAGCAAATCAGAGCCGCCATTCTAAATTAATTTTCCAACACCAGTCTGCTGCGGATTACAGAGCAATGAACCACATCAACATGATAAATAAACTGGTTGCTTCATGTTAGGTCTCACAGTCAGACTCTTGATCACTAATGAAGACAGAAGAGGTGGAGGAACCACAACACAACTTAAAGATCATGTACAACCCCCATGTCTACAAGAAATGTAGGCTTTATGAAGGTTTACAGCAATTAAATCTGTTAAGCAGATTTGTAGCAGTAAGAGCCCAGATCTCTTTCTAACGGCCATCCTGCAGACAAACTCACTGATGAGAAACACAGGACTGGATTTATCGACCAGCAGACGGTTACTTTGTTTTGCTGCACATTAGGAGTTTCTGACAGGTCAGTTACTGCAGAGCAGGAGGTTAGCACATACCAGCTAGCAAAGACAAATAAAACTAAAATATTTTAGAGTTCATGTTTCCCTCTAAAGATATCATTTTGGATATTTTAGAAGCACTAACTTTGTAATTGGAAATCACCCTAATTTATCATTCCAGGAAACATATTAGCATTAGGACTTCATATAACTATAAATATCATGGTGCATGACCAATATCAATAGACAATACAATCCAACAGAATATTCACTGAACTCTGACCCAGAATCACACAGCATGCTGAGAGATGTAGACAGAGGAAAGGCTTTAGCAGCCCTAAGCTAGTTTGGGGAAATCAACTAACACACCGACTCTTCAGTTGCCTAGCAACAACCTGCTGGGTAACAAGTAGCTTCAAGCCCACCTTCTCAGCTTTGGTTGCCTAGCAACAACCTGCTGAGTAAGTTGCGCAGCAGCAGTTTAAGGTTTCTCCACCGCTCCTCGTAACATTAAAAATTAAAAATAAGGATTAAAAACTTTGGATAAAACAGGAAACGTCATGCAACCAGTTTGTAGTTTGGTTGCATTTCAGATACTTAACATAAAAAAGTCAATAATTACTGACAGACTGATATGAAATGCTTATATCGTGAAAGGTTTTTAAGCAGTATGCATAAAATTATTTCAATTTCCATTATGTGTAAAAGGTAGAAACATTAGCTATTGGCATAAAAGACAAAAAATATTTATTCATTTTTTTTAGATGTTATGAACTTTTTTTGTTTTACTGATGTTTTTTGGGACAATTGCAGCAAGAAGGATGATTGTTTTTACTTGTTCTATTTTCAGACAGATCTCATGATGGAAAAGATTTTTGTTTTTCAATTAACATCTCCAAAGCTTAAATGACACATGAACTATGACCCCAAATCCCAGAGGAGTTAAAAATGAGGCTTCACTGAGGCAGGACAAAGTTCAAACCATCTCAGATCCTCGACTCCAACGTCTCTCTGCCTGAATTTCTGACCAGAGACTAAAAGAGCAGCGGCAAAAGCAAATGAGGTGGATTAGCAGTTGCTTGCTAACGGTGGTTGCTGTGGAATATCATCTCTGCTGCTCAAAATTGAGCTGTTAGGATGTCATGAAATGGTTGTACAACAACAGTCTTTAGTTCTGTGTAAAACTATTCATTAAACTGAACTAGCCAGAGTTGGGTAGTATCTAGGTACATTTACTCTGTAGAAAGAATGTACTTTTACAACACTGCACTTTTTATTTGAGTAATTTTATTATGAAGTATCTCTACTCTTAAGTAAAATTTCTGGATTCTCTACCCACCAGACACACACCTGCAGTTTTTGTTAAAGTTTCTAAAGTTTTTTTATTGAAAAAAATATTTTTGTCTGATTTTATTTCATAATTATGCTATTTGAATTGTTGTCATTTTGATCTTTAAAATACCAACATTTTCACTTAACTTTATATTTTGTTCCGTCTGATTGTGTAATTTTTAAACATTAAATGATTGATAATTTGATCAGTTACTCAGTACTTGAGTAAACATTTTACCAAATACTTTTTTTTTACTTTTACTTGAAGTAGTGCTACTCTTGAGTGATATTTTTGGGTACTTTACCCTCCTCTGCCTATAATAATACATTTCAAAGAATTGAAAGAATATAACGAGTGCAGTTGGTCAGTGTCGGAGCCAGACGCATCCATTCTGTGTTAACGTTCCCCATAGCAGAGTGGAGCTACTGACACCTTATCCATCCTGCTGCAACAGTCAGGTTTTTATAGACTTTCTTTGCTTACACACAAAACAACACAGGATGCCACAGAGAGCAGCACAGCATTCTGGGAATAAGTTTAACTAGCAGTAGCTGCTAAGGTGAGAGTTTCAGCTGCAGAAACATTAACTTTTTTTTAAACACAAAAACCACTTAATGTTAAGATTGTTACATTTAATGCCACACAATGTTTTGTTGTGAGGACGCCTGCTGTGACGATAAATTTTTCTGGACAATAAATTGCTCTAGAAGTTATTGCAATAAACGATAGTAAATGTTCATTTGAATTTAAAGTTTAACACTGGAAATGTGAGATTTATTATATATCCAAAATAAATAAAACAGAAAAACAGAAACAACAAACTAAATTATCCCTAAAAATTGGCTAGTTGAGACCAGAATGAAGACTTTTATCCTCCAGGTTTTGGACGATAACTGGACAACTTGATAATGCAAATGGAAATTATTGAGCACGTTTTTCATTTATGATGTGATTAACTGACTTCTTGCAATTCTGCAGAAATAGCTTAAATTTAAAACCCAGTTTTTGTTTTGCTAAGCTTTTGTTGATTAGAAAACATTAAATAAAAATAATTTCAGGTATTTTTTTCCAGTACAAAATCAAGACTGGATTATTCTACAATAATAGCAGAATAATTCAATCCACACTTAGAGGAGATGGCAACATATAAATGACAATAACTACATGGCACAGAGAACATTATCCAAACTGTAATACTTTGACCTTAGCAAAGATTGGAATCTGTGCGATTTTACAGTCCAAAGTAAAATAATATTTAAAAATCTCCAAATCTAATAAAGATCAGTAGTATTAATGTTAATCCGGTTAATACAGTGCTACATTTGTAAATGTTGACTTACAAATAAACAGAGAACATTAAGCTGTATACAGAAATAGTGGCAGGGATTTATATAGCTGTTGCAGTTTCCTTCGACTCAAAATCCCCGAAATCTCCGTGCCAGGAAAAAAAACGAAACCAAATTTAAAAAGAGAAATGTTTGAATATTTCTGCCTTTTAACTGGGATCATTTTAAACCCCCTCAGTGCTAAACAAACCGATTTGTGTTCATTTTTAGCTGATATTTATGAGCAGATCAAACATCTGTGAAACATTTTTGATCCAAACATATTTTGTTTCCCTGCGGGAGAAAATTTGAATCCTAAATGCCTTAAAAAGCTGATCAAAAACACTGAAAAACACTGGAAAATTCAGCAAAAATGAGCCGTTTGTCATCAACAGTTAACATTTAAGACGTTACACTTTGGCATTTCCTTTAAAAAAAAAAGCAGCAGCTATCATAAAAGGACCTGCGAGGTATTCGGTGCAAGACGTTTTAGGTAGTAAAAATTGGACAGTATTGTCGTCAACTGGAGCTAACGCTAAGCTAACCGTGCTAGCCACGTAGCTCCGTCGGCTAAATCAGAAGAGGTAGCTTCCACAAACGGCTACTTTACCTTTTAAAATCCCTCATTAGCCGTCTCCTTGCGGGCGTAGACATTATTTCAGTTGTGTATACAAAAACAATTTGAAAAAAACTAAATGAGCGAAGAGGAAAAAGCCCAAATCCGGTGTTTCTTCCGCTTGCAGCTCTTTTCTTATTCCCCCAAAACAACAACTGGCTAGCTCGCTATTTCTGGTTGACGTCGGTTGGTTGCAGTGCTGAGGCCAACAGAGGCGCAACCCTTATATGTCACAATGTGTCTGTTAAAAAATGCTGCGAAAACTCCTCCTTTCTAACAAATAAATAAAATTATTAAAAATCTGTTGATCAGTTATTCTGATGAAATATATCAAAAGATTAGACTGCTTATATATGAAAGTAATAATTATTTATTTCACAACTACTAAGAATGTGCAGGTGCTTAAATTAGAATATTATTTAAAAAAAAGTTAATTTATTTGGAGTGATGTATCTCAATAATAATAGTGGCTTACAGCCAGAGTTGGGTAGTAATTAGTTTCATTTACTTCAGTAAAGTCTTGGAAAAAGAAATACTTTTTACTACGCTGTACTTTTTACTTTTACTTGAATAATTTATATGAAGTAATATGAAGTATCGCTACTCTTATTTGAGTGAAATTTCTGGATACTCTACGCACTGCGACTTCAAACTTGTTTTAATCTAAAATTCACCTGCAGTTTTTGTTAAAATTTCATATTTAAAATGTTTCTTTAGTTTTATTTTATTTTGAAATAACATTATTTATGTGAATTATTTTTATTTACTAAAATTTTCACTTTTTCCTTTGTCCTTCTGAAGACGTAATTTCTAAATATTAAATTACTGGTTTTCGATCAGTCAGTCACTGTTTTATCAAATATGTTTTTACTCTTACTTGAGTAATTTCTTGGATGGTTACTTCTTACTTTTACTTGAGTAAAGTTTTTGTGTAATCTACCCACCTGTGCTTACAGCTACTCAAAACCCAAAAATCTCTTTCTCTAAAATATTTTTGAAACCATATGTTTACCTACATCGAATAAGAAGACAAATCCAATGAAACATATCGTGTTACAATTAATTTGTTCACATTTTTAAAGAACTACTATTTTATTTCCATTTTTAATATTTTAAAATAAAGGAAAACATAATTTTGCAAAAAGAGGGTAATTACATTTACTTTTTATTGTTTTAAAAGGAAATGACTAGAAAATTAGCTCTATAAATATATTACTGGTACTTTTAGTGTTATTCTTTAGTGGAAATCTAGTCCAATTAGTCCATTAAAAACCTAACAAATTGCTAAAACTCTACATTTCTTTTGGTATTTGTATTTAAAGACTAAAGTTAGCACTTTTTACCTAAATTTCTAAGAGCCACAGTGGAAGATCCCAGCAGCTATGTATATAATTTAGTGTGGAAACATACTTATGTTTACTAACAAATATTTTAACCAGATGATAGGAATCAATGCTTCACTTACAATCACTTTTAGATTTTTTGAGAAATGACAGATTAAATAATTATGTGCTCCAGTGTGATAATCTACTCAGTCAGTAAGTGCCTTACCTTATAATCCCTGTAATCCATCTGAAGCTGATGCATGCTGCCTCTATTGTCCAGCTGGGAAAGTGATCAGAAGCAAAAATCAGCAAAAGATGGGCTGATGCTTCATCTTTTGCATCCAAAATAAGATTTTAAGATGCACAAGAGAGTGTAAAAGTATGGAAATTTAATTTAATTCAAGACATTTTCAGCTTAATATAAACAGGTAAATAATTCACATTTTTAACTGTTATACTGTACTTCATTTGTTTTACTTCAAGCATTTGCTTTAACAGTTCACTGGTTTTGTAGAGACAGACACTTTAATAGAGACATTAATTATAAGGTACATCCCAATACTCTGAATCACCACTGCATGCTGGGCCAACCTCCTGACAAAAACCAGCTATTGAATCAAGCCTAATCCTTCTCCTCACAATTTCCCTAAAAGAATCCAGATTGCTGCTATCAATAGGCGTAAAGCCCTCTTAGCCCATTTCACTGTACTGACAATGTAGGTCACACACAGACAAAAGGGCGGCCCGCCTCCTCCATGCTACCAGCAGCTAAAGCAGCCAAGCTGCTTTATGTAATAAATCACACATTTAGATTGGGTCTTGCTGTGTGTACATAATAATCTCCACAAGTCTGAGCCAGAAGTGAGTCGTGCTTTCTTAAAATGCGCCACAGGAAATAATTTCTGCCTGTAGCCATCAGATTTTACAATCCCCAACTCTCAGTAACTTAAATCTGATTTTCTCTGGACTCATTTACAGATTATTTACAGAATAACACATTTGCCAGCATGCTTGTTATCTTATTTATTTACTTATTTGTATTAAGCCATATTTGAATTACTTGCATCACTCTTATTTTACTTTTTTTTTTGTTCATGGCAGTGTTTCTCAAACTTTTTCAGGCTGAAGATCATTTAACCCATTAACAGTCACACCTAACCTGACATCGCCCCACATCTGAATACATAATGCAACCTGAAATTAAAATATTAGCCTCTTAACTCACATATCGCTGTTTTCTTTGTTTATCCTAAAGAGAAGTCTGGTGCTGTTGGGAAAATGTGACTGGCCACGTCTACTGGGCATTTTGAGTTATTTACAGATTGTGAAAGTGTGGAGTCTAAGTTTCCAATAATGTCAAACACATAGAAATAATATTTTAAAAAATTCTTTACTACCAAGTATTATGTGCATTAATAACATTTAGAGCTATTTGTGATTTAGAAGCACAATTAAAGAAAAAGAGACTTGAGTTGCTTTAACAGAAACAAAAAACCCTTTTCTGCACCATTAAATATAGTGCAATTGTATTTATTTATTGTATTTATTTAATATTTTTTAATTAAATAAAAATAATAATAGTTGTTGACATGAAAATAGAGCATCATTCTTTATCAAGCAAAGTCATAAAAAACAAAGAACAGTTCTGAATAACTGGAACGATTCCTACCGTTCAAAAGAATTCAATCACTAGTGATAGTGATCGTGAGTAACCCGCTTTTAAGCAGTTTCCTATCATTATTTTTAACACAATCCTTTGGTAAGCTAACTGTAGCGTTGCACTTTCAGCTAACGTCGTTTACATACAGTACCTCGTGGGCCACCAGTGGTCCGGGCACCACAGTTTGAGAAAGACTGGCTTATGGTTATTTGTCCTATTAATATTTAACACCTTATGGAGTAGCTTGTCAACTAGCGAGCAATTTTTCGTTGGGGATCAGTAAAGTATATTCTACTCTAAGTAGGAAAAGCAAAGGTGAACGATGGCTTCCAAACCAAACAAACAACAACAACAGCAACAACAACATGTTGGCATTCTTCTATGTGGACATGAATAAAATGGCTGCGTGTCAGATGATGCGGACAAGCTGCCTCCGCTCTCCTGCTGTTAGTTCACGAGTGCGATCACCATGGAGGAGCTTCATACAATCAATGTTTAAACGGATTTATAAAGGACATAAGAACTCTTGATGTGAATAACAAGGTTCTGGTGACTGTCAGAGTGAGTAGATGTACGTAGGCTACATGTCCATCTTAGCTAGCAGATAAAAGCCGCATTAGCCAAGCTAATGTTGCTAGTTCGGCAGTAAGTACTACAGTAAATATCGCTGATATTTATTTTAGTATTACACAGAGGTGGTTAGAGGACTCAAAAACTGCAAAATAATATTTGCAACGTACTTAAATTGTTTATAAGTTAGATAGGAACAAAGCGAGAGCTAGTTCTGAGCTTGTGACTTGTTTGTTGTTGTCATAGCAACTGCCTGCCAAGACTTCCTGTACATCTCAGCTGTAAAAATAGCACTATTTAGTCACATGTAAACACTAAAACTGTTGTCTCACACACAGCAGTTGGCTGAGGATTAATCGCTATAGCAACAGAATACAGAGAAAGGCAGAGCTGCTGGTTTGGACTACAAAGGGTGCGTTCACACTGCAGCCTAAAGTGACCCAATTCCGATTTTTTTGACGTAATGCGACCTGTATCCGATCTTTTCATGGCAGTGTGGACGCACCAAGTTCTAAACATGGCGGAACACTTTAATACAGAGGGCAGAGCAGAAGGTCAGAACTACAACATGGCGGAACTGTCAGTTCCTATAGAGGAGGAGTTGACTGGTATTCTGAGCTACTTTGTGCTTTGAACATTATATAACTGATTTAACCTAATCACTATTACACATGGAATTAGTGTGGCCATTTCAAGTGAAGCTTATGAAAAATTTCAAAATAAAAGCCTTAACAATTTTTATATCATGTAATTGCTCTTTTTTGCATTAGATAACTGTTTAAGAAAACCACTGTTACACATGGGATTAGTGTTGCCATTTCAAATGAAGCCTACTGAAAATTTCAAAATAAAAGCCTCATTAATCCCCTCTGGTAAGTGCACCACCGCAGGCGGTGCAATTACATTAGATTAAATTATCCTTTTCCCTCAAGTTAGTGCACTGCCGTAGGCGCTGCAATAATATGAGCCTTTATTAGCATTTCATCTCAAGTTATGGCACTGGCTTGCGCAAGCCAGTGCATTAGCATTAGCATTTCACCTAAAGTAAGCTTTTAGCCCTTTTTTTTATTAGCCATGTTTAGTATACTGAATGGAGTAAGTCAATGACAGACAACATAGTAGTGATACCCCACATTCTACTGATACCATTCATGCTATTATTAGCATTTTGACTAATTTTACCGTATGCAACATACTGAATGGTACAAGTACAGCTTTGTCCACATGCTTCTGACTCTACACAGGTTATTGACAACATTGAAGCTTTCTTTAGCATTAAAGCTAATTTTTAGCATCAGAACGCTGGGTCCGAACTGACTGGCACACTTTGGCAGGCCCCTTAAAATTTCTTCAGGAATTTTCTAGTTATTATTATTATTATTATTATTATTATTATTATTATTATTATTATTATTATTATTATTATTATGCATTATGAAGTGCAGTGAGGGCTTGTTTTATGGTTGGTAGGAAAAGGTGACCCTTTCTGCCAGCTGTTGGACAAAAACTTTGCGTTGAGCCAAAATATGCAGGAAGAGAGAATCCCTGCTTAGCTCTGCTGCTTTTAATAGACAGGGTGAGGAAATGCTGGCATTGCTTTCTCATTCTCTCCAATGTGCTGTGAGAAACAGTAGCATTTGCCTGTATCTTTTGTTCATTTGCAAATAAAATTAAGACTGTAGAATATTATGTACATTTTAAAAAGATTTAATTGTGTATATTTACTTCTATTGATCACTTGTTC